CCCGCCTCGCGCACGACGTCGCGCGCGCCATGAGATACCTGCATGCACTGCAGACTGACAAGATACTGCCCACTTATGCGCTCAATTCTAAGCATATTATGGTAAGTTGTACCACTCTCTACTGAAGCCACGTCTGACAACCAAAAGCTGTTGGAGGTATAATGTCCGCCAATAATGTGGTGTGTGTTGCTCGAAAACAATGTTACATACACATAAACAATGTAACATTGATTATTCCTATCAGATGATGTAAATTTATGCATTCCTGCGTTCGTTTAGACTAAATGTGTGTCTTTACCATTCACGGGACACTGTGGTCCAGGTCATTTGGGAAGCGTACGAGGGGCAACTGTACAGAGGCCCTTTAGACAACTTCAATCTAAATGTAATGGACAAACCTAATTGTTATGCTAAGTGACAATATATCACAGTATTTTTTTTGCTTTTACACAGATCGACGAAGACCTAACAGCCCGTATCAACATGGCAGACTGCAAGTTCTCGTTCCAAGAGAAGGGTCGCGTGTACTCGCCGGCGTGGATGGCGCCCGAAGCCCTACAGAAGCCCCCGTCCAAGCGGAACCTAGAGGCCGCCGACATGTGGAGCTTCGCCATCTTGCTGTGGGAACTTGCTACTAGAGAAGTAAGTAGTATTGACTTTCTTATAGAATAGAGCTCTTTCAAAAGATTTCTTACTGTCAATAAGGTGGTTATTTACGACGTGAACTACGTGCATAAAATTACTTATAGAGGAAAAATTAGGATTATATTTATGTTACTCAACCTTAGTCTTCCATATTCTTCTTGTCTTGGTTAAAGGGGATTTTTTATTTCCCCAGTTTGCATAACTTTGTTTTGATCAACTGCAAATCAAGGACCCTATATTGTTAAGTTATCCAAACACCAAACGAACACAATATTACGCTTATTGATTTAAAAAATAGTTTTTATTTTGGTGACAGCTCTCATCTTTATAACTATAACTTCAGATCCCCTTCGCTGACCTGTCGCCAATGGAATGTGGTATGAAGATAGCGCTGGAAGGTCTCCGCGTCACAATCCCGCCTGGCATCTCTCCGCACATCGCCAAACTTATCAAGATCTGTATGAACGAGGACCCTGGCAAACGACCCACCTTCGAAATGGTAATACCTATCCTCGAGAAGATGAAACGCTGAAATTGAACAAAGTTTTTCATATAAAATATTTATTTATGTGTCTGATATTATGATTATGTTGCAAGGTGTATATTTGAAACCTGTATACTTGAATAATTTACACAGTACCTAACGATGAATGTTGTATGTACGGTCAAAGGTCAAAAGTCCACTGCCACCGTAAGACTACTATCGGTTGCGCTGCAGCGCTTATACACACACACGCATATTTGTATCCGTGTACGTACGCGTGCGTGTGTTTATGCGCACGCACGCGTTTTTATGCACATTAATATTAAATTACTTACGCATTACCGTGTGAATATCACTCACGGTGGCAGTGGACTTTTGATCTTTGACTGTACATCGGTCTGCTAAGAGAAAAGTCATGTATGCTGCGCTATATGCTAATCATTATGAACCGCTAAAACTAGTGGAGCAGTCTCTTCGAATCATAAAAAGTTGTACGACAATTGATTGTAATCGTAACATCACGCAAATTAATTCTCTTTTCAAAGTAGATGTATAAGTAAGATTTATCGCTGGGTACTGTAATGTATGTTACATGAGAAAAAAGTGAAAAACATGTTTGTTTGTTTCGTCTTTCTTTTTATATTATGATTAATTTCTCTTACAACGAAGTACGCAACCCACCTTGGATTTATAATATTTTTGATTAAATGCATTTCAAATACACACCTTGTTCAACTCGAAACGCCAAGTACTATTAATGTTTATGAATTTTTATTTACGAAAACAAACGTACAATATATGGCTTTTATCATGTGACGCCTGTATGCTGAAATGGTATTCAATTTTATAGATTATGCTGTGATAAAGTATATTTTACATATATTTTATTAGTCGAGATACAATACAAAGTGTTTACACACATTCTTATGCTTCATATGTTTGTGTATTCTTGGACAGTTGACATCTCTTTTTAGACTTTGATTACTGGAAAATTTTACTGGAAGTTTATTGTCCTAAAGACAGATACTGTAAGTACATTTTAAAGTTTAATATCATTTGAGTATCTAGGTATTAATGTTTGCTGACTGTAAATTCCGCATTTCGATGTTTACAGTAGATGATTATATACGAAACCAATTTTAGATGTAAGAATAAAAAGAAGTATATTTATCATATATGTTGTCAATAACTGATGATTTTGCAAGAAAATCGTAGGAATTAAAACATCAGTGCCATCAATAATATTATAAGCATTTCAAATTATATGTCTAAAATTATTTTTTTCAACAATTTTTTACGTAATCTTATTTAAAAGTTAATTGTATTTAAACATCACTAAAACCATCTTGTCTAACTGCCAGTATTTTAAGTGTTGTTTAGTACTTAGGTTGTGTTAGTTAAAATAATCTTTTGGTTTTAATGAAATGTGAATTTTCGAAATAATTTTACTAAATTATATTATTTTCTACAGATTAGTAAGGATATGTGCTAATATATAAATCGGTGCTAAAGCAAATATTATATACGAGAAATATGAAACCATAGAGCTATAATATTTATATCAATATATGTGACGATGAGAAAATGCTTTGTTATAAGAATGACAAATATTTTTCTTTTTGAACAGAATAGTATGTCTCGATTGAAGCTAATAGAATCTCTACCATGTTTGTTGTATTGTTGAGATTAAATGTAATTGCAGTAATCATGTATTGTATAGTAAAACTAATTGTTAACGCTATTGTGAACTGTGCCTTATAACCCGGCCAAATAACATATTGCCTTATGACATAACTGTTACAACTTAAGAGTAGATTTTAAATATTTTTGATGACAAATAAATGTTACAACTTTCATAAAGTTGTTTAATAAACTAACGATTTAGTAATACAATTGTGTTTTATTTTTTAAGTCTGATCCCGTCTGTATATTCAATTCAAGGAAACTACAGTCTTGAAAAGATAGGTTATGGGTCTCAAAAGTGACCTAATGAGATGATTTTAGAGACAGGGTGGGAGTGACTTTGTCTTAAAATGGTCCTATTTTCCATAACATCTCAAACATTTCGATGAATCCCACTAATTTTCAGTTTTAAGACAGCTTAGGTAGGACTAGTATTGTCCCAGTCTACTTAAAAGTTTTAGTTACCACCACCTTTTTAATTCACCTTATACTTTGTTAGGAACTACCCCAGAACAAATGTACGTTAACGTAATTTCATATGAAAATTTCGTTATTCAGACAGTACCTCGAAGCAAAATTATAATGTATTTCATAAAATCTAATTAGTAATTCAACTAATAAAGTTTTGGCGTAATCGTCTATACTATACCATGTATACCGCGGTAACTGGTTTTATTTTTTTTTATGGAATAGGAGGCAAACGACCATCTGATGGTAAGCGATTAGCGCCGACCATGGACACCCGCAACACTAGAGGAGTCACAGTCATACAAGAAGTCTCCTTTTCAGACACGAGTCTGTTTCGGCTCTCTATAACTCAAGAAATGTAAGCGGGGCCGGTGTAGTAGGCATCGCCTGTGCTATCGCCGAATGCCGCTGATTTGTCGCATGTCATTGATATGATGGAGGAGCAATGTAGGCGATAGTACGCAGCCTTGTAGGACGCTTGCGATTACAGACAGCGAGTCAGAGCATTCACCGTCGACAACAACCTTAATGCTACTGTTTTCAAGGAAGCAGGAGACCCATTTGCATAATTTCTCGAGAAGCCCGTAGGAAGAAAGCTTCGAAAGAAACGATCTATGCCAAACTCGATCGAAAGCCTTCGCCACGTCCAAACTTACTGCCAACGCTTTCCCCTTAGACTCGATACCCTATGACCACCGGTGCATTAGGTAAACTAGAAAATCACTAGCAGACCGACCCTTATGAAAGCTGTATTGCTGGTAAAAGTTATTTTCGAAAAGACGAAAGTTACCTATGTCTATCAGTCTGTAGTTGGACGGATTAGATCGATGACCTTTTTTAGGGATGGGGTGGACTAAAGCTGTCTTCCGTGACGTTGGAACTACACCCGGAGAGTAAGAGAGCTGAAAAAGACGTATTAGAACTGTAGCCAACTTAGGAGCGCACATCTTCAGAACAATTGGTGGGACGTCAAGGGACAAGAGCGCCAAACGTACCGAGCGCTATATAGGCTACACTGTTCAGGGCATATTGTCAATCTTTTTATACCTGCAGCCTATGGGTCGACTACACGCAGAGGGCTTACAGCGCCTTGCGACTACTTGCGAGTCCAATATAATAACGCGTACAGGGCACTGTTGGGGCTGCCTCGACACTGTAGCGCATCGGGGATGTTCGCTGATGCACGCATAGATGATTTCTACGCAATCATAAGAAAGCGTGTCGCCTCCCTGATGCAGCGGGTGCGGGGCAGCGCCAACAGTCTTCTGATGACCGTGGCGGATAGGACTGATGGCCTTATGCTAAAACACTGGACGAAGACGCAAGTGTTGCCTACAAACCGTGCCCAGAAGTAGTGAAAGTCAGCAGTATTGTTACTATATTATCATTATATTACATATTATGACAAATTATTTTAATTTTATATAATGAGGTGTGATGTTTTAATACTAGTTTATAAGTTGTAGATATCTTTACTAACCATATGGATTGTATTATCTGAATAAATAAATAAATTATTATTATTATAATATCCCGGCCATATACCTCCCGCACCATGGCACGACAGGCGGCTCGTGCCCACCGTCATCCAGTGTCGAGTTGGACGCAAAGATTTTCCCCAAAAGTTGAGTTTTATCCCTTGCGTACTCATGAGCCATTGAATCCCCACCCATGTGCAGAGGTGGAAGTGACGGCCTGTAGAAATTGCCCTCAATAGCTTTGGTTAGCGACAAGAATGCACGAGTTCCTGAACTTGGCCCCTGCAATGGATCTTTTGAAGGACTTGGAAGCAAAGTTATACTCCTTTTTTAGTGCGCTGGTATTTACATCCCGTGCCACTACCGCATCGGACTAAGCTTGATAGACCACTCGCTTTCTGCGTGAGGCCTTTTTGGTAGAAGCACCAAACCAAGGCCGATATCTGCCATCGATGGGGACCAGAGAAGATGGGACGAAAAGCTCCATCTCTTGCAGCATCACATCAGTATCAGAATTGGCAGTGGCGTTGGGAACATCCTGCAAGAAGCAAACCCGTCTCCCAGTCTGCCAACCTATAGTGCCATACACGGCGACCGCGTGCCTCTTATAGTCGCGGTGAGCACGTTCAGGACACAGAGCTCCGGGCAAGGCAATGATCCGATTAGCTAAGGGTGGCATCAATTTTTTTTTGTTTTTTGTTAATTTTGTTTTTGAATTTAGTTGAATTAGTTTGTTTTTAATTACCTAAATAATAGCATTTATATATATAAGTTTAACAGTATAACTTAATGGCGTAAGCTGTGGTGTTGTATATGTACATTTTCTAAATAAATAAATAAATCAACGGATACGCTGGAGTCCGGGTTAGAAATTGTACAATATCCCCATTTTTACAAAAGAGCGTATGCTTTCAACCTTTTATACTACTATTTTAATTTAAATAATAAATTATCTCTCTTATCTCTTATCTCAAAAACCAATGTTCTAAAAGTGCAATGTGCAAAAAGAGTGAATGATATTAGCTCGAAGTGAACATTCCATCCCCTCGTATCATCGAATTCAACATAATTTGCATTTTTTTTCAAATGTCAATGTCATTATTCAGTTTGACATTTCATTTTATTGGTGAAGGCGTTTATTTATTTAATTTCTACTAATTATTCTTGTTTTCTTAAATTTCAACTAATAATGCAATGAAATAGTGTAACTATTCTAGAGTTTATTGCAATATGGAACCGGGACAGAGTGCAGAATCTGGTGTATTGCCTAAAATTACGGATGTCGAGTGGAAATTGGAAGTTTTGACGAATACTCCTGGAGTTGGTTCAGAAAATTTGTTATATACGGTTATTCTGAAGACGGATGATGGCAACGATGTCCGGTTTACGTGTGGAAGTCAGCAGCTGCAAGATTTGGTGTATAAACTAAAAGACTTAGTGCGACATTGTGAGAAATCGAAAACTGAGCTGACTTGAATGTTTTCAAATTATTGTTTGTATATTTTTTTTATAACAGAGTAAAATTAATTCCATTTATGTGATAATATAAGTTTTATGTTTCAATATTTTACTACAAACACTCATGTGTTCTAATTCTCATGAAAATTGAATATCATATTTGTATAAATAAGTAAAATGTAAAATTAAACAAGATAGTCTTATTCAAAATAAGTTTATTTCAAAATACCATATAAAGTACCGTAGTGAGAACACAAATCAGAAAAAAAACAATTCCATTGTGTAAAACATAAAGCTGATCACAGATTAACTAAAAATGACTTAAGTGAGTAGGTAAGCTGCATTTTTTCATAATAATCATCTACCATTAAATTATGAACTACCAAAGTAATAAATTAGAAGCTGGATGCAGGTCTCTTCCAACCGGTTGATTTAAAAGTCGTCAGGGGCGCCTATGTTTAGCAGTGCACATCCTGTGTCTAACATTCATGATGATAACGATGAAAGAGTCTTCCAAACATTAAATTATGATTATGAAGATCCAAGAAAGTTAGTCAAATAAAATAATTCATGTAATATTGCACATTTTCTCAACAGTTCAATATTTCATACAGAATGCTTGAATCTGCAAGTTGGTTCAACATATTTGCCAACAAGGTTTGTCACAATCATTGGTCAGACATTGGACCATTAAAATATACTTAAAGTAGTTCATAATTTAACACATCTATTCTAGGGTTAGCTTCTTGGGACTATTGAATGCTTATATATTAATATTATTCATAAATTTATCTTAAAATATCACAATATCAACAACTACTCTACCACAATACAATGAACATTTTAAATATACTGTATTCATGGGAGCCACAGATTCAAAATGGTAGCAAATCATTTTAGAATTCTTATAGTCTATTGCAGTATATTGCATAACATAGACAAGGCTACTACAATTCTAAAAATATTTAGTGTAATCCAAAAATAAATAAGATCTTCATACATAAATAATAATGTTTCCTCCTAGTTTCTGGCTTCCCAATAAACACAGTCTACAACACAATTAATGAATTAACCTAATCTCAGACTTAGTAAATAATTTTGCATTCAGATTCGAAAGTAATCACAGAGACCTTACATTAACATGACGGATAGAATTTTGACGAACAGTACTTTAGGCCTAGAGAACTGATGCTACAACAGTTTTAACATTATCCAGATTAAAATTCTTAGCACATCAATCATAGCTACAGTTTTTTTCCGCTCACCAGATGATACTCATATTATTATAGGGTAAGGACATGCCTTAAAGATGAGAATTGTGGCACTCCAAAAGAGAGAAAACGAAGTTTCGGTCTATCTTTATCTCTCTCAAAATAGTACCGTAGTTAAGACGTTATGAGCGAGAAAGAGATAGAGCTAGACAGAAAGCATAAGCCATCTCTCTCACTCTTTTCAAACCAAAAAATTATTGCAGAATATACACATACAGCATGTCCATTAGTATATGTCGATGGTCCTGGCTTTCCAATAGAAATGTAGCTGGATATTAGGAATTGATATGAGTATTAATGATAGGATAAACAGACGTCTAGCAACATTTGCATGTTAGTGAGTCTGACACTCCCCTCTCACCTCACCCTAGACAGAAGTCATTGGACAATTTTCCCCCCTAAAAAAGGCGAAATTAGCACCATCGATGAGTAAAAAAACTGTAGCCTCCATTTTTTTATAATGCAACTACATATTATATTAATGTGTAATAAAATATTGCTTTACTTATGAACCATTAGCTGCGTACATAGGTTTTGTTACCGATACACATAGTTTAACAACTAAACCTACTAACATTTTATATTGTGATATCAATACTGAGTCAGGATTTCAAGGTTTGACGAGACAAGTCTTTATCTTATACTATTCTTAAAGGCAAAATTAGCTCGTCAAATATTACTACGTCAACTAAGTTCTATGAACTATTGTGTCACTATTTTCATATTTATCGAAGTGATGTATCAAATTGTAATGTTTAATTTTAATCTCGGTGTGCGTATTAAATGCAAGCACACATTAAAAGCAAAGTCATGGTGTTAAATTCGTAGCCATTAAATTAAAATTAGTCTAATTTCAAATAAGGAACTAAATTTTTAATAATTTAAAAATTAAATAATCAATATTTTTTATGCAACCAAGTTAACAACGCAATTTTTTGTTTAATGTTTTTAGTTATAAAATTGTAACAGTCAATATTTTAAAATAGCAGCTTTTTTACTGTTTTAAACTTGGCTACCGTTAAATTTTCTATTTTTCAACTAAAATATAAATAAACATAACAAACAACACACATAGATATAAATACAATATTACAATTACAACACACTTATACTGATATAATTTTGGAATTATCACATAATTTTTTTTTATTATTTTAAAGCCTTATTCATATTTTTATTTTATAAGCATTAAGTGCGTGCGCAAACAAAAATAAGTGAAAGAAATCCCTTAAACATAACATAATTGTTAATAAAACAAAAATAGCAAGTTTTCAATATTTTTTGGTCACATTCACTGGTAGTGTTGCCAATATTTCTTGAACATTATTTAAATTTCTACAGATAAATTAGATGGATAGATATATTCAAGCCTGGCAACACTTAACTGGCTGGTATTTTATAGCTGTATTAGTAAATTATTATTATGTACGAAGGATATGCCCTCCATAGTTAATAACAAACAAGGATTTACTTAATAACTAATTTTATATTGTATCTATAGTCGAAATTCAATAATAATAGAAAATTGGTACAATGGAACACATCAAGTAATTTCTAATTTTAAATGATTTACTTAACCCATAGTTTTGTTCTGATAAATTTAATTCAAAACTTAATATAATCACTTAATTGTAAATTAGCGTGATTTTAATTTAATTCCAAATAGTTATTAATATTTATTCATGACAATAGTAAATGGTACACAGACTTGCTCTTAATATTTCCTTCTCTGTTTTTCATAAGCCATGTCTTCACAAATCAGTCTCTGAAACCATACTTTCCTTTGCCCTAAATAATCTATAGTTTAAGTAATTCATTTCCTACTTGATTATAGTGATTATGTAATATTTCAAAGTAGGCCTGATGCCTGAGATCTTAGTCAGTCATTGATTACAAAGAGGCTGCATTACTGTCATTATCAAATACTGGATGAAGCACCAACATACATTTTAAATTATTATTATGAATCGCATTTAGGCATCCATGTATAATTATTCTTTTACATGAATGTATATTCTCCCATTACAGAGGACATACATTTTTAAATGGATTTGTACATATGAATACTGATAAATATTAACTCTGCACAACATATATCTTTTACAAATATAGATATTTTATTCAACTCTTTGATACTCAGTGCTGTAAAAGGGATTTTTGAAACGAGTTCACATTATAATATGTCATTAGATGCCAAAATTCAGCGGCTATTTTTCTCAATGCATACCTGTCTCCTGTTTAGTGACGTCAGTGTTTCTGGCAGGAAACTGACTGTCGACTTCGTTATGAATTCGTAGGTGTCCAGTATCCCTCTACAGAGAGAAGAATTTAAGGAAAGCCGCGGGTGGGACGGGGTGCGGAGGCAGAGGACCTCCGGCCTCCTTGAGCCTCTCGCGGTACTCCGGGCACTGGTCGGCTATGCAGGGATGTCCCAGCGAACGCCAGAACAGGCACTTACAGTGGCGACATAGGGATAGTGTTTCAGCAAACTGCGTGTCTTCTCGAAGACCGTACATCCTTGGGAAGAAATTGTTTTAGTAAATAACTAAGCAATAGGTAAAATATTATTGGGTTTACACAGAGCCTAGAACTATGTCAGTTGTACTTACGATAAAAATGTCTCTGTATTAGATACAAGAAAGTCATAAGCATTAGATGAAATTGGATATCACATTATATTAATAACATAACATAACATACATAGCCTTTTATCCCCGAAGGCATGGCAGAGGTGCACATTGTACAGTGGCATCACTGTACAATGTAACACCCACTTTTCACTATTTATGTTATGAGTCCCATGTAACAGGGGGTGAGCCTATTGCCATATACCGGGCACATTTCCAGACTCCTTGCTACTACTGAGAATTTTTAAAAATACAGTAATAGTTTTTAATTGTAAGTTATGTTATTATTGCAATTTTACTTACTTTCTTAGCTGATGGAACAGCTTCTTCCAGTCGAACTCCTTCTCATCAGCGATATCTTCCTTGTTCTTGGCGAGGACAGCATCAATCTGTTGCTGAGTGAAGTGGAAGTTCACCAGCTCGCGCCAGATACGCTGCTCATTGCATACTGACGCCATTACTGTCCATGCTGATGAAGCAGCCTGGAGAATATAAGTTAATCCAAATTAATCAATGTAGGACAGTGTAGTAGGTACACAAATAATTATTTAAGTATTTATAAAAAGGTTCCTATAGACTGCCAGCAGCACAAATCCAAGCATATTTTTTATAACATAACATTACGCCTTTGTACCCCGAACGGGTAGGCAGAGGTGCACATTACGGCACTTAATGCCACTGTACAATGTAACACTCACTTTTCACTATTTATGTTATAAATCCCATGTAATAGAGGGTGAGCCTATTGCTGGACACAATTCTAGACTCCGTGCTACTACTAAGTTTTTTTTTAAAACCCAGTAATACTTTGCCGGACCCGGCAATCGAAACCGAGACCCCTTGCCTGGCAGTCGCACTTGAGACCACTCGGTAAACGAGGAGGTGAGTCAAAGCAGTTTTTTTTTCTGAAGGAGTTATTTGTGATTGATATACTTATTAGCATAAAGCTGGGTACTCACTTAGCAGTGTAGCACGTAACGTATCAGATACGGTATCAAACTACAAGTGGGTACGGCTCGTCCACGTTGCTTCGCGTACTTAGCTACGAGCTGCCGGATCTGCAGTGTTCGCAACGACGTCACGCCGACAACATGTCAAGCATCCACTTTTACATGATTTTTGTAATAATTCTTATTTTAGGGTCCCACAGTACTGGAGTATTTTTTAAGAAGAATAAGAACGTTTATTTGCACGAAGTATGGTAATTACAGGTAGTAATAATTATAAAAATAGTCCCACATAGGAGTATTGTGGTGAACCTCAATTAGATTTACCATTTTTTCTTCAGTCCACTCCATAATTCCTTCCTTCACTTCATTACTTCAAACGCGAATAGCAGGGACTGAATAACCGAAAAATTACGATACCTTTAAATTGCGGTATGACGTCATACCATTAAATAACGGTTACCGCTTAATTTCGGTATCGAAATTTAATTTCGGTACCGCTATTTTTGGGTATGAAATGAAAACCGGTATATTTCGGTACCAGTATCCTAACCTGAATAATAAAGGTATGAGAGAGATATTGACCGCGCTAGATCATCTATCCTATTTCATCGCTGGGCTCGCTGCCATCGCAGCGGTAAGTCCCCTCTTTGAGGAGTGGCTTGAGAGACGCTACGGCGTCCTCACCTACCGCCTGACGCAGGTCCTCACCGGACATGGCAGTTTCGGGAGGTACCTGTGTCTGATGGGGCGGGAGGAAACGCCCGGGT